CAGCACTATATGCCCATTATTGTGTCGATGTGCTTTTGTCTTTACTGAAACTATATTGTTGTGCTTTCGATGTTCCTTTCTCATAGATGTAACGTTGTTTCCTGGGTTCTTTGTGTCCAGAACACAGGGATCAGCAGGAGTTTAAAAAAATACGGCTCTCGGGCAATCTGGCCCACGAGCTCACCATGTGGGGGAAAAACTTGGAAGATTTGTTTGTAGCGTGTTGGTAGCGTGCTCAAAATAATTTTATAAAAGTGTCATTGAAGTCGGCAGAGCAATCTTAAATCGCTTTTCTATACCCCATTACGACTAGCTAATATTTCACTCTCTTGTTGGGCTTTGATATGTGACAAATCTTTCATTTAACACCTCAGTGTATGTAGGTAGTCCTTCGTTGCCGAAGATGACAATGATTCCTACAGCTCATCCGTGGACGCGCGTCCACCTCAGTGTATAGTATTGAACCAAATGCAGTGTATTTATGCGACCCCGCGCTCGGAATTCTCTCAGTAACTTTACGGGCCCATTTTGGAGAACACAAAAATGTAAAGTTTGATGGTTCTCCCCTGCCGTAACCCAGAAGCTGTAACCTGTTTTCCCTGTTCGTGGGCCTCTCCCAGTTGACCTATTTTCAGCGGGTGGTCTGTTCAAAGGACGCCACTGGTGGTAGGTCCTACTGCTTTTGTTTTCTACTCTTTGTTTCTCTGCCTGTCTGTCTTGTTTTTCCCGTGCACCGAATGACCGTTCTGGTGTCGACGTGCTTCAGTTTTCTCTCACAAACAAAGCCCAGATGCTGACCTATTTCCCCAGCGCCGCTCTTGTCTGGGTGCCGCCGGTTTCCAGAAAGATCTTTTCTCCCTGTATTTGGGGCGCTCATGGTAGACTATGGAGCGGACGGCCGTGGTTCGAATCCCTAATAAGACGTTTTTAAACTCGGGTTGTTTTGAGTTTTCAAAGCCCTCAACCCAATTAGTTGGGTCTTATCGGAGATGAACGTTAAATTAGAAAGTCCTGCCTTTTAAATAACCTATGTTGAATGGAACGGGGTGTTAAACTCTTACACTTACTCTTTCCCTGTAATGTAACACGGTCATTCTGCGTGGCTCAATGTTGTTATTGTAACGCTCTAACCCTTGTGCCGCTGTTGTCTCAGTTATGATTTTGTCCCTTTCCTGCCTACCGTGTTTTCCGGAGTCGTATGCCCATATGCTTATCAGTTATTTTGATTTTCCTTTACAGTGAAGGACCTAATGAATTATGGAGAAAGGTTAAATACATGAACACTCTTGCAAGTGTTGCAAATTTTGTCGTTGTTCATTCAATTTATAATTTTTCTCTCTCTTTTCACGTGGGTGGTTGGAGGGCGCCAATGGTAGATTCTTCTTCTTTACTTTCCCTGTTTTCTCTGCCTGTGTATTACGTTTTCTCTAGCATTAAATGACCGTCATTGTGTCGATGTACTTCTCTTAACTCAAAACAAACAAACGAAACAAAACAAACATTATATTTTTGCTTTCCCCTTCCTGCTGCTAGTTGATAGACTCTCTGTTGTATGGTATGCCTGCCCCTTCCTCTATTGTCCCAGTGTTATTTAACTTTGTCCTAATCTGTTTGTCATGAGTAATGTGACTGCAGTCGTGTTGTGTGACCTAAACCCACAACTAAACTACATCATCACTCTCCATGATGCACTCGTTATGTGTACGTCGCCCACATTCTGTTAGCACATAGATCTAATCAACAGTGTTTCACGGTGCGTTTTCGTTGATGTTCTGAAACAGAAAAAAAAATAGTGGGGAAAAGGGTGGGGGGGGCAATTTTATTACAGCTGGTCATGTTTGCTGACGGCTTTGGGAGTATTTATATGAGCGTTCGCCATCCACACAATAAATTATGTATGATGTTATTGTGGTTGACAGGAAGATAATTGATGCTATATCTGTGTTGAGATGTTTTCCTCCCTTGCACTTTAGCCTTTCTTATAGCGCACCGATATTTTCGTGTTTAGTGTTTCACCGTTTTATGTTTGTGTGGCTCGCTGCCATCGTTTGTCTTTGTCTTTTTTTTCTTTTTTTCCCCCTCTCTTTTTAAAAAAAGACAGATACCTGTGATTACCAGTAAAATTATAATCTGTGCGACTAATTTTTTAAGACAAACAAGGCAACATACGTAGCTTTCTTATTATTTTCAATGATGTCACGGCAGATCATAAAGCAGTTTTTCTGGGGGG